CATCCCTCAGATGCTTACAAGGGCAGAGATCTTTCTAGAAGGGCTTTTGTGGATGCTCATTCCCAGCATGGCAGCTCCCCCACTCTTTGCTTTGCTGACTCCTCCTCTCCCCGCTGGCCTCAGCTTGACTCTCCTTCCTCAGGGAGGCCCTTCCCTCTGTCCACCCACCAGCTATATTTTGCTCCCTTGTTATTCTGGCTCTTGGTTTTCAACTATTTTCTTCTATAGAGATTAGCACAGTTTTAATTAAACATTTGTGTACATTTGTACAGTGTCTGTCTCTGCCTGACTAGTCAGCAAGCTTCATGAATGCAGAGACTCGCCTGTCGTGCCCACAGCTCTATTCCTAGTGTGTCTGGCATGGAGTGTGTACTCACTAAAGACGTGCTGAGAGAATGAGTGCCGTGGACCCGTGAATCAGTCCTCCAGGAAATCAGAGCCCGCTGTCCCGAGTGTGATTCCAGATCCACATTGCTGTGCTCATTTTGAGCTGCAGTGAGAGCTGGGGGTTTCCTCTTAGTCATGGGGGAGGTGTCAGATTCAGGGGGTGGGAGGGAATTATGATGGAAAAAGTCCAGGGAGAGGGGTCCCTATATTGAGGCCTACCCATAACATTTGTAATTATAAGTTGAGTTAACACATTATTACGTAAAATATGTTCTACCCTCCTAGCTTGACAAATATACCTTCACAATGCCTTGGAAGGCTAGGTTTGGATTCAGAAATCTTGGACTCTTTGGGGTTTCATACCAGAACTCCCAGCATAGGAAGAACTGGCTCCCTTGCCCAGGCCTTAAATCAGATCCCTTCTCTTCTCACCTGCAGTTCCAGCCCACACTGCGAAGAGCCTTGTGCCCACAGCTGGGCACATCCTGAGCTTCCTCCATGCCTTGTCCATAAACTGCCCCTCAGCTACCCTCAGACTCAGGGTACACGTAGGCATTTTAGCCCATCTTCAGAATTCCCATCTGTATTTCTGAAATGTGATCTAATAGGGGGAGAGGGAGCTACAGGTGAAAGCACCGTTGTCTCCTTGCCTATGGAGGAGAGCCAGAGCTTCTCTTCTGCAGTACAGGCCAGGGCAGCAGCCTTCTTGCCTTGCTGTAGGGGTGATATTGTCTGTGCTTGTGGCTTCCTGGGGTAATTGGATAGGGAAAGGACCGACAGGCATCCTGTTAGGCTTGTCCTTTCTAGACGCAGCCTACAGAAGAATAAACGCTCCATTAGCAGCTGGCTGGAGCTGGCTGAGGCTCTGGCTGGTGACTCTGGCCTCTGGTGTAGGCTTCCCTCAGATGAGTGCACAGATGAGAGCTCTACCTTCTCCTGACTGCCCAGGCCTCAGGACAACAAGTAAGCCAAGAGCCTCAGGCCTTCCCTTGTATTTCTTGTCCTTCTCCTGGGAGTGACCAGGCCTGCGGTCAGTCCTTCTGCTATCTGCCTCTCTCACGTCCTCAGGCGGAGGCATCCCTACGTGTGGGGATCTGTGCTCCGTGCTCAGGAGGGATCCAGCACCCTGGGTGTGTGTGGGGATTGTTAGGGATTTTCTGGGACTGTTAGGCTGTCAGGTTTTTATCAGTGAGGGGCAGGAGGGATCCCAAGGTATTTTTGAGCAGGGAAGAGAGAGGTCCAGGCTACCAACTGGTTGTATCTGCTTTGCTGGGGGGTGGGAACAGGGGTAGTGGCTCCCTGGCCTGGGAGCAGGACTGCAGTTGAGTATGCTGGAACTCTGAGCTCCCGCAGTTAAGCCAACTGAAGGTGGGCATATGGTTGAGTGGGTCAGCCAGCAGACAGAGCTCCGACCTCTTCATTTTCTCTCTGGTTAGGCTGAGTTCAAATGACTTTACCTGACTTTGGAAGACTCTTGAGGAGGCTAAGCAGGCCCAGCCAGTGGGTACAGGCTTGAAGACCAACAGGGTGGGCTGGCAGACAGGACAGCATCAGCATCTCAATCCAGGTGTCCCAGCCAGGACCACCCCAACCACCACCAGGAGAATGGAACCAGTCCCCAGCCCTTGTGAGCAGCTCTTCCTTTTCTACACTATCTCAAGGGAAATCTGAAGACAAGCTACCAGCATGAGATGTCCTGGTGTTCAGGCAACACAGTTAAACAAAAATGTGATGCTGCTGTGGGAAGGCCTGCCCCAGGACACTACCATACCATGCCACCTTCTGTTCCTGCCAGCTGAAGTTTTATTCCCAGGCAATGCTTTCTCCTTTCACCATTTCCCCTGGGACCCTGACTGGCTCTCTTTGGGGACTGAGGTCTTACAGGCCAGGAGGTGCCTTTGAGCTCATGTTAGGGGCTGTGTCCCTGTGAACTCACTGGAATCCTTTGTTGACACACTGCTTTCTTACCAGTCTGTGAGCTCTTTGAGGGCAGGGCTTGTGGTGCTACTATTTAGTAATTCCTGTATCCCAGTTGGTGCTGACACATAGTAGGTGCATAGTAAGTGCTTATTGAATGAACAGATGGGTGCATTTCCTGTTCTACAGATACCTGTTCAAGCTTTGTTTTGTACTTTATTTTGTTAACCCAGTTAATGCTTCTGACAAGATGTCCTACAACTCCTCCCCACCCCATCAAAAAGGAGGGCCCTTGGCCTCAAATAGGCCAATCAGGCTCCGTTGATGGGGAGTTGAATCTTCAGTGAGCAACTGGGGAAGATAGAACAGAACTATTTTTGGAGGCCCTGAGGCCTGCATCCTCAAGGCTACCTGGCTTTGTCTTTTCTGAGGCTTGGTCAACATTTTCCTTGGTTCTCTAAGTTCCTCACAACTTTCTAATACATTCCCTCTTTTACTTTAGTTAAAACCAGAGTTGGTTTCTATTGCTTGCCTCCAAAGAAACTTGACTGATGTAAGTGTTTTCCTATTATTTTTAAATCTCCTAAAGAACATAAAATTTTTAATGACTATATGTGTTATATTCACTTATTTGACTGATTTGCTGGGTTTTTTTCCTGGTAATGTGATTATTACTTTCTATCGTCTCTTTTCAATTCTGATACCTTCCCAAAGCAACATACTATAAAAAAGGCACAAGAAGGGAAGCTAGAATAAATTGTCTTTAGAGAAAGCATGGCTTTTTTTCTGACACCCTAGCAGAATCCTTTCATTGGCCTCTTTTGACCATCTCTTTCTTCATTCATTCATTCTTTTTATTTCTTAATTTTAATTATTTATTTCTTTTAGAGATGGGGTCTCACTGTGCTGCCCAGGCTGGTCTTGAACTTCTGGCCTTGAGTGATCCTCCCACCTTAGCCTCCTTAGTAGTTGGGACTACAGGTGTACATCACAGTGCCTGCCCATTCTTTCTTTCATTTATAATTCATTATTATAAGTCTCTAGTCTACAGTATTGCTCTGAGATGGTTTCTGCTTAAGCAGATTCGTTGAAACAGTTTACTTCATATTTGGATTTTCCCACTTGTCAGAACATTCTTCCTTGGTAATCTAGTGCAGTGGAAGGGACTGGACTGATTTAGATAATCGAAAGGTAATTCTGACTGTGCCTCTAATTATGTAATTTCAGAGGAGTAACATTCTCTTTGGATTTCGGTTTCCACGTGAGAAATAAAAAAACTTGAACTGAGTAACTACAGATTTCCTTCCAGCTTTAAGATCCTATTATTCATATGAGTCAATATCTGCCTTTTAGTGATATGCTCCATTGGCCCCAGTTAGACAGTCTGGGCTTATGTGATAGCCCTTCAAATGTTTGAGAACCTATGCTCCCGTGAGTGTTTTGTTCTAGGCTCAACATAACCAGTTTCTGTAATCATTTCTCATATGGTAAGGTTTTTAGACTTTTCACCATTCTGGTCATTCTCTTCGGGACACTACAGTTTTTCAGTGTCTGCATGGAAATGTGGCTTTGAGACCTGGACCCGGGCTGGTCACGCTGTGGAGTCTCCCCACTACTTGCCCCTGCACTCAGCCTGCCCCTCCTGGCAGATAATGTTGACTAAGGCACAGCCCAAGGGGAGGCAGCCACTACAACTTTCCTAGATCTAGCAATAGTTATTTGTTGCCATTTTAGAGGCCCTTCCTTCAGGCTGTATGCAGAATAGATGCAGGTAGCCATGGAGCCAAATCTGGAAGGAGTTGGTGCTTCCTCTGAAGATCAGTAAGTAACCAAGAGTGATTAACTGAACAAGTGCTAGTTCTTAATACACATGGAAGGAAGATTTGCTACAGGTGTCATTAATGTTTGCAGCAGCTTTTTTTTTTTTTTTTAAATTGAGACGGAGTCTCACTCTGTTGCCCAGGCTGAAGTGCAGTGGCACAATCTCAGCTCATACAGCAGTTTTTTAAAAAATGAGGCACTGAATGTTCATGTCTCCATTGATGAGAAAAATGTCCTCTCTAACCCTTTTCTTTTGCTATGCCCCTTTCCCATTCTCTCTGATATCATGTCTCATGAGTCCTTTGCCCTAGCAGCTCTTGTATTTGTCTTTTGCACAGGAGAACAGATGCAAAAACTACTGCTCAAGGAAAATAAAATGAAAACAAGGAAAAGCCAAAGCAGATCTGGAGAGGGCTCTGGCCGGACCACAGGCATCCTGGAGCTGTGAAGTAGAGGGTGTTCTGCGGGGAGTCTGATCTCTGGACTCTTGAGGGGTTCTTTCTGTCATTGTCACTCCAACAAACGGCATTCCGACAAAGTCCCGTATGATGCGGCCCCGGGGCCATCTCTCTGGACTCTTGTCCTTCTCCTCTCTCTCCCTTGTTTGGATCCAGCCCCTCTGGCCTCCACTCTCTTCTTTGCAAACACCAACCATGCTGTCACTTTACGGCCTTTGCATTTGCTGGTCTCTTTGTCTGGAACACTCTGCCACTGCACGCTCACTCCTCCACTTCACTGGGCCTCTGTTCAAATGGCACCCCACTGAAGGTGTCATTGATTGCTTTATCTAAGACAGACCCTGTCTCCCCAACACATTGTTCTGTAGCCCTTTACTCTGCCTTATCTTTCTTAACAGAAACTAACAACATCTGACATATGCTTACTTGTTTATTTATATTATCCAGAACATAAACTCTCAAAGGCAAGGGTTTTGCTTCACTACTGATTCCCAAGTATCAAGAAATGTACCCAGCACATGCAGCACCCTCAATCAGTATTTGTTGTGGTGTGACTTTTTAAGCATCAGTCTTAACGCTTATTAGCACAAAATTGGTCTCACGGAAGCACTTTGTGTTTTTTTGGCGGAGGGTTCATTAGTCCACTAGTTGACAAGTGAGTCATTGAGGATGGGAAGTTTATTTGAGCAGTGTGGATCTGCTCAGCAAGGCCCTGGTGCACCACACTACAAAACACTGTGGAAATGAGGTTGCTAAGGGTCACCTTGTGGAGGGAGAGCTGTGGATCCCATCTCCTCCAGAGCTGCTTTGATCTGAGGTGGGGCCCTGGAGATGAACAGAAGAAAGGTGGGGAGTGCTGTTTTTCCCCAGAAACCCACCAGGGCTCCTTGTCAGATCCTGGGCTTTCCTTTTCACTCATTTTTAGGGGCTGAGGCCAGTTTTGCATGATTCAGTGACCAGGCATATGGCATGACTGTAGGTGGCAGGTGGGGACAGCACAAGCTGACAGGTTGAGTGGCCATGGACCCTGTTCAGGTAATCTTGGGGGAAGGTGATAGGAAAGAAGTACATGTGGGAAAAGGATGAGATTTTGATAAAGCCAGATTACCAGCAGGGAACGTCTGAGCAGGCCAGGCAGGGAGGATCTGGGAACAATCAAGTGGAGGAGTGGTGATGTGGATCCAGAGGCCAGGTGTGCTGATCCTTTGTCCAAGGTGAAGTGATTGCCTGGGAACTGGGGAGAAGAGGGAAGGTCCTTGGACAGGACTAACATCCTAGGTGGGGAGATTGAAGTCACCCTGGGAAAACAGTACTTCAAACCCCCCCCCCCGTTTCTTCAATACCTCCTTCCTCTCTGTTATCAAGACTTGAGTGAGGCCCCAGAAAAAATCCAGTTACACCTGGGTGAGAGAAACTGTGAACCTTAACGGCTAATAATCCCCAAGGGTAAGTTTAGCTCATTAAGTGTTTTTCCAGTAGCAATCAATACTCCAGAGCTCTTCTAGAGAGAATCACTCAGGGGCAGAATGTATTTTCCTAAGATGGCCACAATAAGAAGTTCGATGCAGTCAGAGTGACCTCTACAGTCCTCCTGTTTGGTGGTGGGGTCTTTGTCCCCTCCCCTTGAACTAAGGTAGGTCTGCATTTGCATTGAAAGTGAATGTGGCAGATTCTAGAGTGCCTCAGTACCCTTTCTGTCCATAATGTTCCTTCTGCATAGCGTTTTGTAGCTCTTCGCTCTCTCAGTTTCAGGCAAGAAGACTCATCCTGAGCTGAGCTGAGCTGCTTTTCTTGAAGTTGTGCAAGAACGTCCTGCTGACTGGGGCAAATTCAATAGTTTTTTCCTGGTCACTGTGCTGGAGCGTGAGGAAAGACTCTCCACCCTCACTCCCAGATCCTGCAGGAGGCGTGAGAGTGGAGGGAGATGGTGAGGATGCCTATTAATATGGTGTTTCCTGTAAAACGGTGCCCATTTCAACTATGGGTTGTCAAACATCCTTGGTGTCTACAACTGCAATTTACCTCTGAGGGGCCATGAACTCTGATTACCTGAAAGTCCTTAGGCCAGAAAGAGAAATGCCTGTCCGCCACCTCTCACTTTCACCTGTTTCTAGACCTTTTCTTATAGCAATGCTTTGGCCATCAGGAAGCATCAGAATCTCAAACTGCAGGGTCTGGGGCTGAAGCTGATGCTAGCATGGGTGACTCAGAGTTCCTCTATTAGTTCAAATATCTAATATATTTTAGAGCCTAAGACTCAGGCTGGAGGAAATTCTTTGGTGCCAGTTGGTTAATACTTTATGAATAGTGGTAGAGGAGGGAATGCCTTGAACTATTAATGTCCCCATGGATCTGGATCCTGGAGAACTTCCAGTGTCCTGGAGGGAATGTTCTGCTTGGCTCATCTTGCCCAGAGAAGAGCCAGGATATGAGAAGATGGGAGAGAGAAGGGGGAGGTGCGAAATGTGCTGGTGCTTTCTGTCCTCGTGGTGTGATGGCTGCCCAGGTTGCTCCTTCGAGGCAGGACAGGATTCCCATGGGAGGTATAAGGACCGTGGTGATTTCCAGGCACCAGTTATGTCCCCGAACATCGCGTGCCTGTGCAGTGGGGTTACTGATGGTCCAGGCATCAGTTCATATTGTCCTTTATGGCAGATCCTGCACAAGGGGGTTCTCTGTCTCTGGACCCACCCTGTCAGCACGGACATCCTTTTTCTTTTTCCCTGGTAAGGACATCAGAAAGAAAGTTACCCCTCCAATGTTTGGAGTCTTGGCATCCTTGGCCTGCCTGCAGGCCTCTGAATCCTCAGTGTGTTAGCCCAAGGTCACCTTAGGGAAAGGAACATTTCTCCCGGTCTTCCAACACCCTGGAAAAGGAGGCTTTTCAAGAATAGGAAATTCTTCCTAATGTCTAACCTTGGCCTGCAACTATGCCGTACGTTTAATTGCAGAAGGTATGGAAAGTTAGGGCTGTGGTGGACCCAGTTAAATAACTGGACAGAAGCCATGAGGCAGAGCCAGAACCAGCTTCTGGACTCCCTGCGTGGAGCTTTCCACTATCCTAGGTGGTTGGGTCCCTTCTCAGTGGCCAAAGATGCTATTTTATGAGCCTTGAGGACATGACACTAGGTGGAAAAAACCTGGCCAAAGGGCCACATAGTGTATAGTTTTATTTATATGAAATGTCCAGGAAAGACAAAAGCATAGAGGCAGAAAGTAGACTAGTGCTATGGGAGGAATGGGGGAATTGGGAGGTGATGGCTAAGGGGTTGTGGGGTTTTAGGGGAGGTAATGGAACTGTTTTAAAATTGGTTGTGGGGATGGATGCACAACTCTGCGAATACACTAAAAGGCATTGAATTGCATACTTTAAATAGGTGACTTGTATGCTATGTGAATTATATCTCAATAAAGCTATTTTTTCCCTGCTCATTCCTGGCTTCCATTTTCTTATCACAAATCCTGGGGACTCTTGGGGCAGGGGCCAGGGCCACACCCTCCCACAGCAGATGGGGCTTTCAGATGGAGTGCAGCCTCAGCTGATCCCTCTTGCCCTCTTCCCTGCTGGAGAGAACGAACAGGAATCAGCACTGCCTGTCCCCGTGCTTACAGGCTAGACCCAGACCCTGCCTTCTAGGACACACCCATCATAATGAGGCCTCAGTGCCTCCTCCTTGCTGACCCCCTTTCTCCACCTTGGGACAAGCCAGCTCCGACAGCCTGGGATGGAAATGACCACAGAGCCCTGGTCAGTCGGGTAGTTCTTTCAGGGGCAGGGCATCCTGGGGCAGAGGAAGGGACTGAGCTGGATGTAGAGCTTAGAACCTGGTCTGATCTCGGAGTTTCCTCTTCCTTCCTCTTCTCAAGAAGGCAGCCCTATCAGCCACTGGCCAGGGAGTAGCTTCTCTTAAGGAGACATTTTGTAGAACTCTCAGGCAAGAAGGGGTTGGGAGTCGTCTAGACTCCCACTCAACAATGTTTGTCGATGCCAGCTATGTTTCAGGAACCCTTGTGTTCTAGGAACCATTGACATGCCCAGTGGTGACCCAGCATCCTCCTTTTAAGGGCTCAGAATTCAGTGGGGAAGTAAATGTAAGTAGTTCTCTGATTGGGGTAAGCAATGGAGATTAAAGGAAGGACATTAATCAGCCTGAGTGTGGGGGAGGTCAGGGAAGGCTTTCTGGAGCAAGCACACCTTGAAGACTGAGTATGAGTTAGCCACATGAAGCGGGGAGGCTGGGTGGGAAATCATGGAAAGTGTGTTCCAGGCAGAGGGAATATTATGTACAAAGGTCTGCAGATGGATGTGAGGGAACAGTTCATTTGGAGAACCGCAAAAGAAACTTCAAGTAGTTGAGTCTGGTTGGAAACCAAGATATGAGCTAGAGAAGGCCAAGAGATGAGGTGGGAGAGGTAAGAAGGGGCAGACCATCTGAAGCCTAAATAGGAGGAGGTCCAAGACCCCCTCCCCCTCAGGAACTCCACCTCCTCCACCTACCTCCTACACCTACAGGATTCCTACCTGAGCAGGGGCCCCAGTGCCAGGCAGAGAAGAGAGTAACCAGCATCAGGAGCAGCGAGACAGGTACCGCCACCAGCAGCACATCTTTGTAGGAGGCCTTCCCTGGTGCTGAACATGGAGGGGTGGAGTCAGAGGTGGACTTGATGCTTCATAAGCCCTCAACCATTGACTGCTGACCCTTGGCATACCTGCTTCATGATGGCAGCTGTCCCAGGGCGTGACTGTGGCCAAGTCCCAGCTGACAGGGTTGGAGACAATGCAGGAATAGGCCACACCTCTGTCTCCCGGTCCCAGGGATATGCTCAGCACCTGTCCGTCTGTGAAGAGGCTGTGTGGTTCCATACCAAAGTCCATGGTTGTCTCCCGTCGCCAGCTATAGGTTATTTCACTGATGTTGGGGGCCCAACAGGACAAGAAAACCTGGCAGGTTTTGGGGGGCTGAGCATCCCCTCCTACAGCAATGAACACTTGTACCACGGGCCTGGGCACTGCATCTGGGAAAGAAAAGTACAACAGGTATGGGTCCCAGGGATGCTGGGCAGGGCCCATATCTCTGGCTCTGGGATGCACCAGGGTTAGATGCCACCTCTGACTAGGCCTCTCTTGTTCCAAAATCTTGTCTGGCTTTCCACTGCCCACAGGACAGAAGCTGAATTCCTTAGCTTGATATTCAAAACCTTTCAGGAAATGATTCATGCCCATCTCTCCAGCTGTACCTCCTGCTGCTTCTCCCTGCTCATCCTAATTAATTTGCAGTTTTCCCAAATATGTCATGCTCTTAAATATCTTTCATGCTTTCACATGGTTCATCTGTGCACATAGATGCCTTTCACCTCTTGTCCTCCCAGAAAACTCCTACCCATCCTTCAAGGCCCGGCTTGAACACACCGCTTAAGCCTTGACTGTGAAGCCCTCCCAAGCATGGCTCTGAGCTCTCCAAGCACTCTATCTCTTTCTGTAGTATTTATCTCACAATATGTCAGCCAGTCAACAAGAGATGACAAGCATTTGTTAAGTCAGGCAAGAAAACAAACACATTCCTAGCCTTCTGGAGCTTACAATTTGGTGAGAAAGACAAATACTGACAAATGATTATGAATAATTAATAAAATAATTATGAGGGTGCAAAATGCTGTGAAGGAGGGGCCCAGAGGTGGGGTCTCTGTCTTGTTAGCTCAGTAACCTTAGCTGTCTAGTGCTGGCGAATAGTGGGTGCTGGATACCTGGTCACTGAACAAACTGATATCCTGGTGTCCTAGGCCACGGATCCCCCTTCCTATACAGGTTGATGAGTAAATCCTGAGTCTCAGTGGAAATGAGGCCAGTGGGAGAGCATTCTGGTAACAACGGGAGGGCTCAGTCTCTGACAGCATTCCAAAGTCAAGCAGAGAAAAACCTCGTTAATGCCAGTTCAGTCTGGTGGGATTTGTGATATGAAAGAGAAATGATTTGCTGGGCACACTAATAGTATAAACAAAGATTACAGGGGGGATATTTACATCACTTAAGAGGACAAGCTGCTTCCAAACACGATCAAGCACAGTAGAAACACCCATTGACATTTCTAGTAACTGATCTGCTAATTCAAATCATTCTTAGCTATTGTCAAAGCAGAGCTCCTAAGGATGGCTGCTTGGCAGCTTCGTGCAATTAGTTCTAATCACGCTATGTATTTGGAAGCAATAAAACAGCAATTTCCTTAAAATCTGTAATTCAGATGCTGAGAACAAGGCATTTTAGAGCTTAGTGGTGTGGGTGCCGCGTGTATTATCACACTCAATGTCCTCATTTCACATGTGCGGCAGCTGAGACTTAGACCGGAGGAGGGGCTCCAGGGGCTGACTGTATGGTAGGGTAGGTTATTCACTGCACAAGGACATTGGGCTAAGGGGGTCACAGGGTAACAGGTGGCAGGGGGTGGGGGTGCTGAAATACAGCCAGTACTCTGCTTGCCAAGATGAGGCTCAGGGCTGTGTGCATCCAGAAAGACACCTGCAACGGCATTGGCACCCTGCGTGTCTCGCCCAAGGACAGCCAGTTAGCTGGCCCGGGGGAATTCAAGACACCTTCCCAATTTGCTTACAGCCTTTATCTCCCTCATGACTACCCTCTTCCAAGCTGCTACCTCTGCTTTCCATTCTTAAAGCTGGACTTCCCCCTCTTCCACTCTATCTAAATTTCTAAGGTTTTACTGAAACAGTGATTTAGGGTCACCCATGCCTCTTTTCTAAGCCATTAGGTAGATAAATGAGAGCTGAAAGCCCCTTTTTCTTGACCAGAAGACAAATGATGAAGGTGGTGGAGGTGGCTGTGGTGGAGGTGGAGGTGGAGTTGTTTGGAAACAAGGTCCACCCAGCCCCCAGTCCATGCAGCCAACTGAGGTGCTGAATGTAGCTGCGCGAAGGGCTCTGCAGACCCATGTGAAGCGGAAGTTGCACCCAGCTGGGCCTGCCAACCCACGGAATTATGAGAAGTAAACATCGTCGTTGTTTTCAGTCCGTAAGTTTTGGGATGGTTTGTTTTGCAATGATGAATGACTGAGAGAACCCATGAATCATATATAGTTAAAATCTTTCTAAGAAGCCCTTTTAAGAAATGTGTAAATTCTATACTTTCAGTCATAGTTTCATTATAATTTGATTTTTAAATAAATCCATTATGTCATAGTTTAGTATGTAATATCATTTTTTTTTTCCTTTATAGTGGTACATAGACTAGTGGCACATCTTACAGTCTATGAGGATCCTTTAGAACTGAGGAAGCACAGGCCAGGCTCTGTCCTGGATGCCACTGCAAATCCCACTGCATTTCACCCTGTGGGTACTCTACATGGTAGTATTACAATGCCCATTTACAAAGGAGAAAGGTGAAGGCCAGGGAGGCTAAGCATTGTGTCTAAGGCCCCTGAGCGAAGAAAAGATTGAGCTGGAGTTCAGGCAAGCACCATGAAACGGCAAAGCCTGGCTGTTGCAGCCAGGAGGAATTTTCTTAGACGCCACTACCAGGGAGCAGCTGTTCCCTGAGTCAGCAACATGGTCAGAGACCAGAGCTTTCTGGAACCCAGCTCTCCCTGGCTGCTATGACTCAGGATGCTTGTCTGGTGCTTTGTGGGAGAAGAGGGTCAGGCAGCCAGTGTCAGACACACTCACCATACACTTTTAGCTGGAGGGTCTGGGTCCAGGTCTGGCCCCTCGTGTCCACCATCAACACGGAGAAGTTGCCGCTGTCTCCAGACTCCAGTGGCCCGAGCTCCAGGCTGAGGTTGCTGTGTAGCTGGGCTCGGCCCAGGAAGCGGGAGTGGTACAGAGTCTCCAGGGAGCCTCGGAAAAATGTGGCCAGGAGCTCCTCTGAAGGCCAGAGAGATCGCCAGATAGCCTCACGGACTTGGAAGCCGGGAGGGTGTGCTGCCACCAGCAGCACCGAGCCCCCGACTTTGCTCAGCACTTGGGCACCAGTAACTGTAATGGGAAGTAGGGCTGAAAGAACAGAGCCCCTGATCACTCTGCCTGCCCCACGCTCCTCATCCTACTTTTGCATGCATCTGAGCTGCTATGGGGTGAACTGGGGCCCCTCCACTGACACTCCCTCCACTCAAGTTGAGGGTACACTGTGCCAGGTACCAGGGATAAAACATATGGAAGATAACCCCAGTGTCTGCATTCATGGAGCTTACAGAGGAAGCCAGACATTCAAGAAAGCAATTAAAATGAATTCTGTTAAATACCATGAAGGGAAAAATGGGATGCCCTGGGAGAACACAGGTAGGGTGATAGGGGACCTCACCCAGCCTTGATGGGCTCAGAAAACAAATTGTTAAGCTGAGCCTTGAAGAGGAATGGGAATCAGCCAGGCCAAGCGGAGGGCGGCCTGGAGCAGGATGGGGAAGTGTCACCGGCAGAGGGCACAGTACTGACAAAGGCCTGGAGGGGGAGAGTTGGTGCCTAGGGGAACTGAGAGGAGTTCTCTGTGTGAGGAGTAGGAAATTACACTGCAGAGTCGGTGGGAGTCAGATCATGCAGGGCCCTGAAAGCAATACTGGAGTTTGAGCTTTATCTGTAGAGCAATGGGGGGTCTCAGGTGGGTTTTAAGCAGGAGCATAACAGGATTAGACGCATGGTTAGAAAGATCACTCCAGCAGAGATGTGGAGAATGCACTGGAGGTGGGCAGGACTGAGGCTGTTCACATTAGTCCAACGGAGAAGTGATGGCAACTTGAATTGAGGAAGGGAGCAACGGGGATGGAAAGAAGTGGGAGGAATTGAGAAACATGAAGATGGTGTAATCAGTCAGATTTGGTAATAGATTAGCTCTGGGGAGTGAAGGAGAAAAAGGAGTCAAGGATGGCTCCCAGGTCCTTGGGATCCACTGGATATTATTCTCTGTGATCCAGAACAGGAGGAGAAACAGACAGGGGTCGAGATGGCAAGATGCTGTTTTTGGGGACTGTATTTGAGTCAGGGGTGTATAGGAGACACTTCTGCTTGAAATGCCCCTCTGACTCCTTTGCTGACTAATTTCTGCCCACTCTTGTAGCATCACTGCCTCCTCTGACCTCCCCTATCCCTCATAGGTAATGTAACCAAGAGAGATTACGTATTCTCTCTTGTGTTCTCACAGTGGCCTGGGGTCACCATGCTGACTACCCTTATCCCTCTATTATTATTGCCTGTTTATGAGTCAGCATCTCCCACTAGACTGTGAGCTCTTTCTCCCCATGGTTGTGCTTCCAGGGCCCACCACTGTTTAGGAACAGACTGTGGGAGAAGCCTAGTAAATGGTATTGAATAAATCACCTACCCTGCTGAGGACTGACCCTATGCCTGTCACTGGCACAGCGTGTAGGGAAGAATAAGAGGTGACGAAGGTTTGGTCAATGAGCCGTGTTCTGGATGGTTGCTCAGTCGGCCATGATAATTCCAGTCCCTCCTCCGCCTCACTGTCCTCCAGGCCCAACAACCTCCTCTCACACTGGAGAAGGCTTCAGTGTTCACGCAGAGTAGGAATGTAACACACAAAGAGCATTGCACTGGATGTCAACCAAGACCTAGCTTCTACCCGCTCCTGGTGCTGCCACGATCAGCTGTGTGGCCTTCTGCACATCACCCCCCACCGCCCAGGCTTCAGTACCACTGAAAAATAAGGGGTCTTTACCAGGTCAGTCACACAGATCTTTTATCATTAAGGGCCATTTGAAAAATTATTTTTGGGCTGGGTGTGGTGGCTCATGCCTATAATTCCAGCACTTTGGGAGGCTGAGGTGGGCGGATCACTTGAGGTCAGGAGTTTGAGACCACCAGCCTGGTCAACATGATAAAACCCCATCTCTACTAAAAACACAAAAATTAGCCGGGTGTGGTGTCAGGGACCTGTAATCCCAGCTACTCGGGAGGCTGAGACGGGAGAAACACTTGAACTCAGGAGGCAGAGGTTACAGTGAGCCAAGACGCACCACTGCACTCCAACCTGGGCGACAGAGCAAGACTCAGTCTCAAAAAAAAAAAAAAAAAAAAAGGCAAGGCAAATTATTTTTGTCTCCCATGTCCGCTGATTTGAAAGATTTTGTGAGCCAAACAGACCTTTTTTGAGGTTAAGGTGTGATTTCCTGCACACGTTTAGAAATGTTGAAGAAATCTGCAGGCTTTGGAGCTCTCAGGGCCGGGAACCCAGGCAGGGAGAAGAGACAAAGCAACCCAAAGTCCCTATGAGCCTCTGATGTAAACAATGGCATCTTAATCTTTGCCGCACCCCATAAACCCTCATCCATGGCCTGGCAGTGCTGACCCATGCCACGCTGGCTGCTTGTTGACCAAGGAAGGGAACTCGGGCATCAGATGGATAGAGGGATCGCCCAGTGTGGAGGAGACCCCGTGTGTCAGCCATCCCAACATCACGCCACCATCAGCCACCCCCACGTCCACGTGGGCCGTATTTAGCCTCTCTCATCCCTACTTAGTACTTGCCTCCCCTTAAGAAGACCTGCAGGGAGGGACCTCAGCTCTCCCACAGGCTGCTGAAGACACACTCTGCTGATTGTGGGGAACCCTGCTCTGCCCTGCCCTCTGCTTCTCTCCTCAAACTCTGTAGAGTTTCTGCGTGCTAACACTGCTGGGTCCTCACCATTCTCACAGCCGACTTCCGCTGGCTCCGTTTTTACTGCCCTGGGCCACAAAATAGCTCATGTCTCACAGATAAGAATACCCCTCAAGCTGCCACCTCCTCCCTCCCACGACCCTGCATTTCTTTGTATCTGCCTAGCTTAAAATGTTGCCCAAGAGCTTGTTCTAGTCTTCCCTACCCACCCTCAGCTTCTGGGTTCTCACTCGGGTTGAGGGAGCCCTGCCCAGACGTCTGGTGAAGGCAGCTGGGGAGGGGCCTTCAGCTCTCCAAGGACAGGCTGTCTGCCTGCCCCACTTACCTTCCCAGAGAAGCAGACTCCACAGGGGCCTCATGGCCATCCTTCTCTGGTGAGGCAGGTAAACTCCTTCAACAACCAAAATCCAGAACCTCCCGGGCTGAGTGGGTGCACGGGAGGAGCTGTGGTCCTTCTGGGAAGTCCCATGTTCAGAAGGAGGAATCTTGACTCAGAACAGGATGCCCCAAAAGTGAAAACATCCAGAATAAAGTGGAAGTTGGCCCTGGGCCTCGCTGGGCTTTCAGGAGCAGATTCTTGTAAGTCAGCCTCTTTCACATGCACATGGTTGGCTAACACATGGCGACAATAGCCCCCACACAAGCCACATCCTCCTTGCTGGATCTCACTGCCCTCCCTGCATCCCAGCCTGCCTTACTGCGACCTGTCCCCCTCAATCTAGCTTAAAATCCTTCTGTGGCCTCCCGTGGCCCTGAGAATGAGGACTAACTCTCTGCTCCGCATGCAGGCCCTCCTGAGTCAGGCCTTCTTCTCCAGGCTGGTCACCCACAGTTATTCTTCCCTCCGGCCATCCCAAGCCAGAAGGCCTCCTTCTCAGAACTACTGATTTCACACTTCCCTGTGTGGTACTTTCCCCCCTTCCCCCGACTAGGCCTGCTGCTCCTTTTATCCTTGCAAACAGAGCGTGGTTGTGCAGTCAGTGAGGATGTCCCTCCAGGCTTCCTGACCACAGGCAGGTGAGAGGCCCTCTCCTTGTGCCCTGTGCATGCCCACACCTCCCTCTTTACTCTTGATGTGTTGTTGATGACAGTTTTCTGGTCTTCACAGACTGTTTAGCCAGCACGGTCTTTTATTCCTTTCTGTGTTGCCCTCAGTGCTCGGCACATTACAGATGTTTCTGAGTATTTAAGTGAGTGAGTACATTCTAGACATGGCTACGCGTTTGGCTTTATGTAAGCCTTGCACCTCTTCTCTGAGAGGATCATCTTGTTATCCAGTTAGAAATGGGAAAATGTGAAAACCAGAGTGAGGTTAAGCCCCTTGCAGAGGTCACAGAGGTGCGGAGCTGGAACTTAAACCTCAACCTTTGAAGTGTGGTCTATTTTGCCACAGTCACCCACTCCTCATCCTGTTTCTCTTCTCACTTCAAGTTTCCTGGTTTCTTGTAAGGGAACGTTTTTAGAGGACGTGTTGCCCCTAAGGAAAATTCCTGCTAGTCTGGAGTGTGGCTCATTGTATCTGGCCCTGCACAGCCTCTCACCTGTCAATCAAACTAGACACTGAGCTTTGGACTCAGCCAGGAACTAGGCATATAGGATGGGGCGGGGGTGGTGGTGAGCAGGAGGATTTGGGGATAAGGTTTTTGCCCTCTAGGCACTCACAACCAAAATGTAGAGATAGGTACACCAGGGAAAGTGAAGGCTTATCTGCAGACAGACACCACTTTGTGCAAACAGGTAGTCAGCCCTCAGAAGTGGGTGGGAAAGAGGGCTTCGTGGATCTGGGCAGGGGACCCTTCTTGAGAAGGTGGAATTTGAGCTGTGCCTTGAAGATGGGCATGGTTTAGATAGGATGAGGAAAGGATAGAGCCAGAGGTTGGGGGTGGGCTCTGGGCAGGAGGGGAGAGCACAGCGTACAGGGATGTGACCATGGGAAAATACCAAGTAGGCTCCACAGAGGACAAGTGACAGCAGACAGGAATCCTTCAGGGCTGGGTGGGAAGAATGGAAAAGGAGGTTGGGGGCAGATTGTGGAGGCCTTGAAAACTGGGTTAAGTTATTCTGGAGACTAGTGGCTCTCAACCGTGTTCAGCACTTGGATTCTCAGAGGTGCCATCAGGGTGAGCTAGGGCCCAGAAATCTGTGGTTGTAACAAGCACCCCACTCAGGGTGAGTCTGTGGCTGGTGGACGGGGGCAACGCTCCGGAAGCGCTGCTTGAAGGGAGGGGCTGTTGCATGTTTTAAGTGGGAGTGGGAGGGCAGCAGCAGGGCAGGTTGGGAGAGAACAAAGGGGCAGGGGAACCTGAACAGCAGCTACTGTCTGCCCTTTTCTCCTGTGAGAAGGAGAAGGGTCTGCATATGAAGGAAATGTCTGGAGTACCGAGAAAAGGGCAGAACTGGGAAGTTGCCTGGCGTGGGGGTGGAGAGGGCAAGGGAGGGAACTCATTTACAACTCCATTGCCAATTCCATCATTCATTCATCAGGTATTTATTGAGCATCTACTTAGGTGCCAGGACCTAGGGACACAAAGATGAAAGCTTAGCCCCTGACCTGAAGGAGTTCACAGAAGATAGGATATATAAGCCAATAATTATAACCAGTGTAGCAAGAGCAATGTCAGATGTATGCCCTGGAGGCTGTGAGAGCCAGAGGACAGATTTGACCCTGTCAGGGCAGGCGGGGGGCTGGGGAGGGCTCTGTGGAGGGGGTGGTGTTTGAGGTGAGACTTAAGAATACAATCAGATGAGGGCAGGAGTTCAGAACTCAAGCATGATTCAGACTTTCTGAGTTCAAATCTTGGCTGTGAAACCTTCAGCAAAGTAACTTCCCTGTGCTTCAGTATCTTCGCCTGGGAAATGGGAATCAATAACAATACCTACCTCTTAGTATTGCCAATGAACACATGTGAAGGTTTAAATTGGGGTCGGATGCAGTTAGCACTCAAATACTAACTGTTGCTACTAAATGGCCAGGGAGAGGGAAGCAGGGAAATCTGGGTAAATCAGATAAAGGCATGTTTCAGGCTGGGCAGTCCCCTGTTCTGACTCTCTGCTCCCAGACTGGGAGCTGCATGAGGGGAGGGATCTCCTTCATTTCTGCACCCTGTATATTGCCAAGGACAGGCTTTCGATGAGGCAAAGCCCTCCATGCATCTGTTGGATTGGATTGAATGATTCTAAAATATCAAAGCCTGGGACTGGGAGGGCTTTGGGATGCAGGTATGGGGTCAACGTGGAGCCAGATCCTGAATTCCTTTGGAGAAGGCAGTGGGCAGTTACATTGCCACTAAGCAGAGTTGGTCACCCATAGTTGTCCATCCAAGCAAGGAATGAATTGCAGTCCTTCCCCCCACCTGAAGCCCTTTTCCTTGAGGGGAGTTTTGGGGAAGCTGAGAAAGGGGGTAGGAGGAGGTGGAGGGAAGACTGAAAAATATCGCACCTCCCCAAAGGGAAAAACTCACTGCCCATGTGACCACCGGAGAAAGACAAACTGAGGCGGTGATTCTTTCCAGAAGCAGGGAAGGGTTAAGTCTGCGGCAGGCAGGTTCTCTCTACTTGCTAATCACTGGTTCACACCATATTAATTACCCAGCCACAGAGGGGAGTGCACAGGAGTAAATTAGCTGGTGAGTTCAAAGGGGCCACTCCCCACATTCTTAATTAAGAGAGCAGCTGGCAGCCAGTGCTGCCACTCCACTCCCTGGGGCCTTTCTCAGCTGCATCTGCTGCGTTGGTTGCCGAGGCAGGCATAGTAGCTCCATCTGCCATGTGGAAGAGCCTGCACCCACCATTAGCCCACCTTCACTTCAGGCTGGGGGTGAGGGAGCAGGTGTTGACCAAGGTCACATAAGCTGCCAGAACTCGACCATTAACCCTGAACCGCAGGGCGGGGTGGAATTTGGGTGAAGCTTTGTGCCTGCAGGCAGAATGGGGCCACACTTCTCCCAGGAGGAGAGGTGGAGAAGGGAAAGAAAGGTGGGGTGCCTGAGGAGCTGAGAGAGAAGGGGAGCCAGGCAGGAAAGGAGGCAGAGGCAAAGCAGCTGGCAGGAGCGGGCATTTAGCAGGCTTTTCGGGAGCCAAAGGTGGAAGCCAAAGAGGAGGGGTGTTACTAGGGAGTGGGGAGGCCTCTGGACACTGCTTTGAGGGGGTGGTGTGGGATGGGGACTGAAAGGGGTAGGTAGGACCCCACCTAAGCCCTGTCTTTGTGTCTGCTTTCTGCAGGCACCATGCTACGAGGAGCCACAGACCAAGAGGCTGCCTGGGGCAGTGGAGCCTGTGTGCACCCCTCCCTAGCTAGCCAGCTTAGGCAGCAGTGCCACGACATGGCAGGAAGTCTGGTCTAGAGGGAGAAGACCCTGGAAGGAGCCTGTCTCTGTCACTCCTTAGAAACGCCCACTGTGGCTGAGCCTCTGGAGATGGGAAATGGATGCAAAATGGCCTTACTTCTCATGAGATGGCGCTGGCACCGCTTTGAGCCTAAGTGCCTCCTTAACTTTTGTGCCTGAGGTGCCTCTCTTGTCTCACCCTGATCCTGGCCCTGCTGGGGAGAAGTAGAGGGAGTGGAGTCTTCGATGAACTAGAGGCATGGTGCACACAGCTGGAGAGGGAGAAACTGAGGAGAGAGGAGAGAGGAGAAAGTGAGTGGGATGGAACAGCTTGCAGGAGTCTGGATGGAAGGGATCTTTGGCTTAGGTCTGTCTGATTTTGAGGCAAAGATACACCTTCCCAGAGATTTGAAGGAAGCCTGCATAAAACAGAAACAAAACCACACTGCGCTCTCTTGAGGTAGAGAGGGGGAAACTGGAAGCTCATGCAGGCATTCACTCACTCATCGAACACCTGGTTCCCATCTTGTGCACACTAATGCATCCAACGAACACTAAAGAGCATCGAGCATGTGTAAGCCTCATGGGGTCAAGAACTCAAGCTGATGGTCCCAGTAATCATAATACTCCTGAGAGGATCAGTCACAATAAGAATCTGTGCCCCCATGTGGGAAAGAATTCCAGAACAAGTTCAACATGGGTTCTTCTTCCAAAGAACCTGAGAGAAGGGCCCCTCTGAGCAAAGGCACAGCAAGTGATGAATGCTGAAGGAGCAGACGTGCTGTCGGCTGCAGGTCCTGCCAACTGTAGCCTCTTCAGCAGTGTAGAGGGAGATGTGAACAGGTGGCAGGACACAAAAGATCCCAGTGCTGGAGGGAAAAGCCTGGGTCTTTCTCATCTTTACACCCTGTCAGTAGTCACTGTTATCACAGTCGATATGAAGATGAAGGACACAGAGCTATTTGGTGGATGCTTATTTAAATAAAGCCTTACTTCTTAGCCAAATCTAAGAGAACAAATCTGGAACTGAAAGAAATCCCAATGCGTTCAATCTTCCAGGTTTAGAGAAGGGCAACATTTCATTGTTATTGCTTGTATCTAGATTGTGTATTCACATACAAAACAAGCACCGGTGTCTAATCACATCTTACACTGAAGCGGTCCAGTGAGTGGGTCAGATCAGTATAAGCCAGCGCAAGACCTCAAATACCTGAGAGCGCCACCAGAGGGCAGCCACAAGGCTCCCAGATGGAGGTTTTTTCCTGCTCTCTCACTTAAGGAGTGGCTCC